GCGAGAGCCACATATTGAAAAAGAGCCGCCTTCAATCCGTGAAGCTCTTGCAACTGTTAAGAACCAGTGTGCGCGGCACTAAAGCGAAAACATCATGTTGATAACGGGTTGTCCTCACTCCGTAAAAAAATCTTACACATGTTTGGAACGAATGTGCGCGGCGCTAAGGTTAACTCCACATTTTGAAATCGGGTGATCCTCAATACGTGAAGCTCTTGCACATGTTTAAAACGAATGTGCGCGGCGCTATTGCGAGACCCAAAATGGACAAAAAAGCGGGCTTTCCCCAATCCGTGAAACTCTTGCACATGTTTGAAACGAATGTGCGCGTCGCCAAAGCGAGAACCACATTTGAAAACGGCTGATCCTCAAGCCGTGAAGCTCTCGCACATGTTGAAAACGAATGCGCGCGGCGCTAAGGCGAGAACCAAACATTGGGAACGGGATCTCCTCAATCCGTGAAGATCTTGCACATGGTTGGAAAGAATATGCGCGGCGCTAAAACGAGAACCACATTTTGAAAACGGGTGATCCTCAATCCGTGAAAAAAAGGAATGCGCGCGGCGCCAAGGCGAGAGCCACATTTTGAAAACCACCCGCCCTCCATCTGTGACACTGTTGCCAATTTTTAAGCTTCAGAATCATACAATGGTGGTAGGAGGAGGAGGAAGAAGAAGAGGATGAGGGGGGGGCAGAGGAGGAGGAGGAGCAGGAGGAGGAGGAGGAGGAGGAGGAGGAGGAGGAGGAGCAGGAACGGTTGGGGTCGAGGTGGGCTGATGTTCGACAACAGCAGCGGCGCGACCAGGGTGGCAGGTAAATGAGGGCGTGCCTCCTCAGAAGGCTCATGAAAGCATCTGGCCGCCTGAGCAGCGTCCTACGCTTTAATCCCGAAGCGCTTCTCAGGCTGGAGGGCTTCTGAGAAGCCCCGCCGCCTTTTGCAAACGCCTTCTCCCCACCTCCCCTTCGGAGAAGGCCCCGTTGTCAGGGGCATACAGAACTGCGAAGAGCGTGCTAACAAAAAGCCAGCCAGAGAGATAGTGGATGAACACACGACTGTGTGCAAGAGGCTGAGGAAGAGGAGGCCGAGGAGGAGAATAACGACGAGGAACAACAGCTCTAAGACAGTTCCTCCTCCTCCTCCTCCTCTTCCCCCAAACTCCCCAGGGGCGTCTGGAAGTCCTGGCGGTTGATGCAGGTCCCCCGCGAGAAACTTCCAGAGCTCCAAGGAGGCCAGGGAAAGCGGACGAAACCGAAGTAGGACAGGTGAGAATGATAACAAGAGCAAGAAACAGAGAGAGAGAGAGAGAGAGCGAGAGAGACAGAGAGAGAGAGAGAGACAGAGAGAGAGAGAAAGATAACGAGAGATCGGGAGGGGAGGAGGGAGGGAGGGAGGGAGGGAGGGAGGGAGGGAGGGAGGGAGGGAGAGAGAGAAAGAGAGAGAGAGAGAGAGAAAAAAAAGGCATTCATATACAGAGACAGACAGGCAGAACGTGCGAGAGAGGGAGCGAGCGAAAGAGATAACAACCTAGAGGCAGAGACAACGAACGAACGAGAAAGAGAGAACGAGGGAACGAGGGAGAGAGAGAGGGGGGGCGAGAGGGTATGCGGCACCATGTGCGCTTCTTGGCATGCGCCCTGCCTGGCCCACTGCTGCGCTCACGGCGACCCCTTCCCCACCGCTCCTGACGGCCTCGTTGAACTGCCGCTTCTTGACGCAGGCGTTCCCCTTGGAAATATATGGGGTGGGTGAAGGGGGGGGGGGGGGGCGGAGGGCGGAGGGGGATATTATCAACATGGGATGTAGTTAAGACGCAACTGCTCGAAGGCCTTCGTAAGAACGACTCAGGGCCAACACGCCCGATCCAGTCGGATCTGGCAAAGTCGGGCCTGTGAGTAAGCCGAATTCGGCAGGATTGCTAAACGGGGCAGTTCGGGATTATGCCACATTTGCCCAGCTTGCGACCATGAATCCACTGGCGCCGAAGCTGAGATGAACCTCCCCGCTGCTGCATCCCGGAATTTGAGGGAACGAGGGATGAGCCCGATGATGAAGGATGAGGCAGGAGGAGCAGGACGAGGACGAATACGAGGAGCGAACGACGCGCTGAAGGGGGCGCGTGTCCGCGGGCTAGAGGCGCAGCGGGCCCGCGCCGCCCACGAGGCACCGAGGCAGCCTCAGGACGCGTCGAGCGGCTGCGACCACCTCCTTGTGGTACTTGAGCTCGTCGTGGATGGCGGGCGCGCCCAGCTCGGCGTGCGCCCGCATTATGTTGTACGTGCGGAAGGCCACAGCCATGCGTGTGATGGCGCGCTTCGGGTGGTCGTCGATGTTGTCGCCCTCGTGGGGCCCGAGCCGCGTGAGGACGTCGCCAGCAGGTTGGCCCCGAGGTTGAGCCAATAGTGCCCACATTCGCGGGCATGTAATGTAGTGGTTGATGTCGTCCGTGTTCTTGATCTGCGAGTCTTTGTCGCAGCCGAACAGGCAGTTCTTCTTGTGGGGATTGACGCGCACGCGGTGCGATGTCGTCCACGCCCCAGACAAGGTCTTGACCACGGGCCAGAAGAGCGAGGCCGTGGAGTTCGCCAGGCGGGGCCGCAGGTCGCGCCATCCGTGCTCAACACTCGCAGGGAGAGCAGCGCGTCCAAGAAGTCCGTCGCGGTCGGATGCATCGGAGTCCACCATGATGTCACTGGCGGAGTAGATGTGAGGTATGGATGTGGCCGTAGTGGTAGACTGAGTGCCGTCATCTTCCTGCGAGATGTTCGGGTTGGTGGCGCGTTCCCGTTCGACCCAGCGACGGCGGGCGCGGTGTTCAGCAGCTTCATCAGCAAACTCTCGATGAGTCTTGGTCGGCATGTGCTCGGTGGTGTAGATCTATAAACGGTGGTTGCGAGGTCGTTCAGCTCGATGCCATGCACCGTAACATATCTCCTTCGCCATGTCACGGCGAGCATTGGCTGACCCGTACTGGTCATCGGGGCAGAAGTGCGCATTGAACTGGGTGCGGTGTAGAACAGCTGTGATGTACGGGACGCACCAGTCCATCCAGTCGTTGAAGTTGTCCATATCGCGGCCGAAGAACACGCTGGGGATCCATATTGCTGCCCATGCTTCTGCACGTTCTTTCAGGTACTTCATGGAGTCATGGTTGTCGTTTCCATTCGGCTGCTCGGTCGTGGCAGGTGCCATCTGAGGTCCACTTTCAACAGGAAGTAGTGGGAACCAGGCGCGGAGACGGTGATGGATAGTCTTGTGGAAGGAGTCGCGGTACAGCTGGCGTTGTAGTTCCCGTGGGTATGCTTGTTGTGGAGAGGTGCGTGAAGTGGCACTCGAAGTAGCACCATTCGAAGCCATGAATCCAGCTTGTCTCTGATGAGATCCGCCAGTCCTGTCACGACTGGGCGTGTGATGGCCACCAGCCCTGTCACGGCGTGGTGCCTGGTGGGCTCCAGTCCTGTCACGACTGTGTGTGTACAGATCCTCCGCCTTGTTACGACGGGATGCCATGATAGCGTGTCGTCCAGCAGCAGCAGCCTGCGCATGTGCTCGTTGAAGTATCTGGGCGGCATTCACCGTAGATCCTGTGGATCGCGTGAGAATCTTGAAGATGGATCCCTCGCCCGTCGCGATCAGCTTGTTGTGCAGTATGTCGTCGAATCGCTGCACGATGGAAGTGGCGTCGCTCCAGCATGAAGCAGACCATTTTCCAACAACTACATCTCGTAGCGGGAGAAGTTCTTCAGCACGGGCACGGAATGTGTGAAGCAGAGGCTGCCAGCCAGAGATGGTGGTCGTGGAGGTGCGCCACATCGTTGCTGCGAGAAGCGTTTCAATACCCTGCGGGATCGTGGCGGACGCCCATAGCGTGAACGACAGGATGTCCATCTTCGTGAAGCTCGAGGGGGCAGCACGGATCAGCTTGTGGAGCCGGTGAATCTCCTTGGACAGGACTGCTGGGGAGGGTGGGTAGAGCTGGCCGGCGTACGAGAGGCATGTGATGGCAGCGGAGTTGTACATCTTGATGCACTGCTGGATGGATGCGTGAGAGTCGCACAGGATCTGGATGCGCTCCCACCACTTGTTGGCAGGACCTTGCCATTGATGGTCGAGAGAAGCACCAGGGCCGATGTGCACGCCGAGGTAGCGCGCAAAGCTCTTGATGGAGAAATCTTGCCACGGCTCGTAGAGCTGGGTCAGGATGGCACGCATGCTCGCGGTGATCTCGGGCGTTGGCAGGGACCAGGTGGGTACGAGGACGCATTTCTTCGGTTGAAGGCGGAGTCCAGCGTGATGTTGTGCAGCTTGCAGGTGTGGTAATAGAGCGCCAAGATCCCGAAGTGCAGCAATAACTATACCCAGGTCGTCGGCGCATGCGCTGAGCAAGCCTCTACCCAGAGCAGTAAGTTCCATCTTGAGGCCCTTGATGATGGGATCGAAGACTAGCGCCCAGAGCGTGACGCTCAAGGGGCATCCTTGCGCAACCCCAGATTCTGCTAGAAGTAGCGGTCGACGAGTACCACCTAAGTCGAGGAAAGCAAGTGGCATGTTGTAGCAGCACTGCAGGAGATTGAGAAAGACGCCGTGGATGCCCCACCGCCTTAGAGTAGCCCACAACCACGCGTGCGTGAGGCTCGGGAACGCTGCGGCAATGTCCATGCTGGCGAAGCAAGGCATCATGCTGGGGGCTTCGCTGTTGATGCTGGTGATACGGGCGATGGTGTCCACCTTGACAATGTTGGAAAGAAATTGACGACCACTGACAAAACCTTATTGTTCTTCCTCGGTATCCGACGCCACGGAGCTCAGGATGCGGTTCGCCGCGGAGGCGATGATCTTGATGTCACTGTTCTTCATTGCGAGGGGGCGTAGTTCCCCATGGGCTCATCACCCTTGGGGGGCATGGCCATGAGCGCGTAGTTCAGGTCGTGTGGGATCGGTCCACCGTGAGCAAGGGAGTGGAGGAGTGTGTGGAGGATCTCGATGCTGCCTTCTGACCGTACCCATGCTCGATAAGGCAGTCCGTCGGGCCCAGGAGCAGAGTCACTGGCGTGTTTAGCAGCAGCTTGAAGTTCTTCAATCCCAGGTAGAGGCAGGTGACGTGGCGGCATTGGTGGGAAGACCATGTCCAGATATTGCTGCATCGCTGGGGCGTCAATGTGCTTAGCAGCAAGCACCTTCGACCAGTGAGATTGAATAGCGTTGTGCATGTCCATGGGATCGTTGGCGACTGTCGGGCCTCTGCTGTCGGTGATGCGGGCACCTGCCGGAACCAAGCGCTTCGAGAATGGCTTCCAGATCTCGCTGCGTTGTCCAATACGGCGAGCACGACGACGCCATCGCTCACCAAGGTCGGGCCGTTGTTCCGCGTAGGCAGCTCGCGAGCGGGCGGCAGCAGCGCGACGTCGTTGTTCAGCGATCTGAAGCTGCATGGCGGAGTGATCGGTCTCGAACGCGATGCGGTCGACAAGCGAGATCTAGTGGTGACTGATGTCGATGTGCTGTGCCCCAGCAGTGGTGTCCTCTCGAGGTCGCTGAGCGAGAGTGAGGTCTTGGTACCAGACGGTCCTGGCAATGCTTCGGAGTGTGAGTGCACGAGCCTCTGCTATGATTTGTGGGTCTTCATTTCGGCTCTCGAACGGCTTGATCTCGGAGGCAGAGACAGAGGTGATGGTGTCGCGAGCCTTGCACGCCGCCATCTTCATTACGTGCTGCACTGTCCGCCAATTGGAGATGGGGTCGACAGAGAGGTCGGCCATCTCGACAAGGCGATTGCAGTAGAACTTGTAGTGCTTGGATTCGAAGAGGAAGGCGGGGATGCCGCGTTCGCTGGCTGGACGTGGCTGACGAGGTCGAAGCCGTAGATGTAGAATCTCGTGCTCGCTGATGGGCTCTCCTTCTCGGTCGAGCGGTCGGCCATCGGCAGCGAGAAGTGGCTCGATGCGCGGGATGTTGGACGCGTTGATCGAGACGAAGCACCTGTCGATGGTCGCCTCCGTCATGTTGGCCACGCATCGGTGAGTGGTGGCCTTCGCAGTGATCTCCATCATCTGTGGGAAGATGTTCTTCCAAAAGACAGGCTGGTAGTGGTAGCGCTCGGCGGTGGAGTCCGCGGCGGGGTGAAGCAGGCTCTTCGGCTGCGTCTGGGCGATATTGAAGTCACCAGTCATGTAGTAGTCGTGGTTGTCTGGATGGAGGGCTGAGCGTTGAGCAGCTGCTTGCCGCGCAGCTTTGAAGCGCTGACGGTCAGGACCGTTGAGGTCGTAGTTGTGAATGTTGAAGATTGTTGTCTCATGCTGTCTTGTCCCGCCTTGAATGCGTAGTTCACCTATGCGCCCAGGGACGATCGCGCGAAATGAACGTAGAGGTCGTTGATCACGTGGCAGTTGGAGTTCAGCTCGGTCAAAGGGAACCAGGAAAGCGATTCCGCCTGCGGTCTCCGAGGATTGGCCGTCCGCCACTAGCGCTGAGTGGAAGGCGATGTACTTGTGGTCGGAGCCCGCGGCCAGGAGGTCCATGTCGGTGCCGTTGCCGTGCGTCTCTTGGATGGCGATGACCGCTCGTTGCCGCATGTAACGGAGCAACAACAGTCGCTTGAGGGCCCGCCTTGGCGCCGATCTGCCATTGAGCGCCTGCGCACTCCACGAGGCCAAGTTGAGGCCGTCGGCGTGTGATTTCGTGAACCACGGCGACCATCGTATGCTAAAGCCACCGTGCTGCCTCCAGTGGGTTGGCGAATGCGGCGGCCAGCGCGGTGGCCAACGGCGCATGCTCGGTGATAGGGATGCCAGCGGGGGCAGCAGCGTCGGACCAGCGGACCTGGGTGGCTGCATCAGGAGTGGCGCCAGCTGTGACCTGGACGATGGGAGCGCCGTCGACGGACAGGAAGCCTCCAGTGCGGTGAACCCGAGTCTCGAGCGTGGGGAACTTGTCATTGATGAGCTTGTTGAGCTTTTTGAATTGAACTTATTGGCGGACCATGCGTGGCGACTTGTCCGCGGAGACGTAGAGGGCAGTGAGTCCAGAGTCCGATTCCACCTGGAAGCGTCGCCATTCACGACCTTGCCGAAGTGCGCGATGTAGAGCTTGCGCTCGCGGGAGAGCAATCGAGTTGCCGCCAGTGAGCGTGAACAAAATTCTCCGTGCTGGGCCCTCTGAGTTGATGCAGAGCGCATTGATGTCCACGTCGGCGGCTTCGAACCAGGAGGCGAGCGCAATCTTGAGCGAGGCGACGGAGAATTCTGAGGCAGCCCCACACCAGAGAGTTGCAGCATTCGGTGGGCGGTCCCAGGCACCCATGGCGTCCAAATCCATGGCTGGTTGGAGAGCTTCGGCATGACGAAAAGCTTGCTGTAGAGCGTCCACGCTTGCCTTGAGTTCGCCTTGGAGGCGTTCAGCACGGTCAGCACGGCCTTTGAGTTCGGTAATATCCCTCTCGGCAGACTACTGGCGGTTGCTGAATTGTTCGGTGAGCTTCGTGATGTTGGCCAGGAACTCAGCTTGCGCAGCAGCTGCAACTTGTTTGGATGTGGCTTCGAAGGCGGCGGCGGCTTTGTCGACCTGGGTCTGGAGGAGATCGGTGAGCACCTTCCGCTGCTGTGCGGGGAGGTCGATCGCGGCAAGCTTCTGAGCTCCAGCGGCCCAGGGGTCGGCAGCAGCAGTGTCCTTGCCTTTGCCCTTGTCGGTGTAGTCGGCCCAGGATTCGGAGGAGCTGGAGACACCAGGCACACCCATCGCGAGGCTATCGTGCGCGGGGCCAGCGCTGGCGGCGAGAGATATGTAAGCTGCGCCTCAGCAGCGAAGGATCTGGAAATGCTCAACGCCGCGGGCACGGCGAAGGCGGAAAACAGCGGTCCTAGCAGTCCCCGGACCAGGGGTCTCCGTGCTCTGCCACGGGGCACAAACATCTTGAGCCAAAATGGCTACGGAGGACGAATACGAGGAGGAGGAGGAGGAGGAGGAGGACCGGTGCAAACTCAAGACCCATCAACGATGTGTGATCAGACCCTCCCTCCATGCGCCCTCTTCGTAAGCCCCGTGCACGGCTGCATGTCCACTGAGGGCAGTGTCCCGCAGGGGAGACGACCAACGGACGGCCCCGGAGCCCGGACGCACGCCAAGCGCCACGAATCCACCTGACTGTTGCGCGCCTTGACGGCCCTGAATCGAAGGATTGCAAAAAAAAAAAAACCAAGGATTGCAAAAAAACCCAAGGATTGCAAAAAAAAACCAGGATTGCAAAAAAAAACCTGCCAGAACGCCAGCCAGAACGCCAGCCCTGGGATTTCGGCACCGCGACACGACGTAACTGTTGAGCCGTGACGGTCTGGAGCCGCTCCCGCATGCCATCTCTGGCACATCAGCCACGACGAGCCCGCATCACCCTTGCAGTGTGTTCCAAACGAATCGGTTCGGCGCTGAAGCCAGAACCAACTTTGAAAAGGAGCCGCCCTCACTCTGCCAAATTTGAAGGGGCCCTGGGACACACAAATAAATACACACAAATAAAAAGATTCCCCACAGTTTCCCATATGTTCTGGGTTTTTGTCTTCCCCCCCACGTCCCATATCTTCCCATATTTCCCTTGGAGTCGACGATTAATTGTGTCTGTGTGTTTTTTCTCCACCTGAAAATTCTTGCAACCTGTTAGCACGAGCGTGCGCGGCACTGCGGCGATACCCACCATGGTGACAAAACGCTCCGCCCTCTCCTTCCGTGGAGCTGCTGTCCTCCCTGAGCTTTCAGGATCATAAGTGCTGCGGGGTTCTCGGGCGAAGCGCCTGTCCAGCCCTTCCGACCAGCCTCGGGGTGCGGCAAGGGAGAACTACTATTCCTAAGGAAACGAATTGGAAGAATGGGAGTCGGACGAAGCTGATAGGGACCCGAATCGGCTCATGGCATTCTTGAAGGGGCCCAAGGACACACACATAAATACACACAAATACAAAGAATCCCCCATGTGTTCCCATATTTTCTGGGGTTCTGTCTTCCCCCCCCCACTTCCCATATGTTCCCATATTTTCTGGGGAATCGACGATTAATTCTGTCTGTGTGTTTTTCCCTCCTGAATGGTAGGGACCCGAATCGGCTCATGGCATTCTAGGCAGCAGCTGTGAAGCACCACATTGCCGCACCTATTCAGGGGGGGGCCAGGGCAGCTCCCCAGGGAGAGGCGGCGGAGAATGTGGCGTTGGTGAGAGCGGGGGTGATGGGAGGGGGGTGGAGGGGGAAGCGGAAGGAGCAGACGAAGGGGAGGTGACAGAGAGAGGTGAGGGGTTACATACAATTATAAAGAGAGAGAGAGAGAGAGCGGCAGAGAGAGAGAGAGAGGGAGACACCGACACATACACACATATGTGGACAGATATATACATCCAGAGAGAGAGAGAGAGGTAGAGGGAGAGAGGGTTGAACACATGTATACCGAGAGCGAGGGAGAGATGGAGGACGAGCAAGGAAAAACTATACATATATGTATACATATATATATATATACAGATATAATGATAACGGGAGAAGGAGAGAGGGATAGAGACTGAGAGAGAAAGAGAAATAGAGAAATAAGAGAGAGAGAGAGAGAGAGAAAGAGAGAGAGAGAGAGACACCCATGCGGACCGCGGGTCCGTCGGCCATAGCGGGCAAGCGGCTCCTGCCATCCCCCTCTTCGGGCTGCAGGGCAGCAGAACGAAGCGGGGGATGGCCCCCACGGGGGCCGCCAGCAACCCTCCTCCTCCTCCTCCTTCTCCTCCTCCTCCTCCTCTTTCTCCTCCTCCTCCTCCCCCTCCCACTCCCCCTCCCCCTCCTCCTCCGAGCAGGACTGCGGACGTGTGGTCGGGGTCGGCGAAGGCGCGGACGGGGGCGATGGGGCGGCGTGGGCATGTCGCCCTTGCCCGCGGTGGGTATGAGCCGCCGGGGGGCACCACCCAACAGCGCCCCAAAGCGCCAGTCCGCTGTCCTGCCGCCGCTCGAGCGTCCACGGCCCGTGCACGCGTCGGTCTCGTGGCGTGTCTGCTTCGCTCGAGGATCCGGGCTGTTCCCCGATGGTCCTCGCCGATTACAAAAAACACATATGTTTAGGTCGGGCCGATCGTCCTATAAGGGGATATTGGACGAACAATTAAAAAAAATGTCCCCCCAATGATCCAGAATTGTCAAACATGCTAACAAAAACCGTCCCGGGACTATTTTTTTACTATTTTTGAATTTTCCTCCTGTGGAGGGACAGGCCCGACTTACATCCAGGCTGCTCCCCGATGGTCCTCGCCGATAAAAACAAAACAACCTGTGCGCACGTCCCAGCGGCACCACGCGGCTAGTGCGCCGGGCTGGAGTTCGGTGGGGCACGTCCTCCTACAGGCGGATTCTGGAAAACAAATGGGGCATAGTCAAACAGCACAGGGAGGTTCAAAAAACAAGGAATTCTCAAAACAAGGAAATTTAAATTCTAGTTTGTCGTGTAGAGATCGCAGTCCCGAAGCGAGGCAGAGAACAAACATAGGAATTTAAAAAACAAGAACCGGACCCGTGACGCGGCATGAAACAAAACAAGGGACGCCCTGGAATTGCAGGGGGAAGATCTGGGGGAAGATCTGTCGGGAGATCTGGAGGGTGTCCAATGGAAGATTTGGCGCGGTTGCAAAGCGAGAAATCTGGAGGAATATTTGGCGGAAGATCTGGGGGAGATCTGAGGGAACATCTCGGATAAAATATTTGGCGGGAAGTCCGGAGGAAGATCTGGAGGGACATCTGAGAGAAGATCTGGGGGAAGATCTGGGCGAAAATCTGGGGAATGTGCTGAGGGAGATTTGGCGGTGTAGTGCGTCGTAAATCTGCAGCAAGATTTGCGGGAAGATCTCGGGAAGATCTGGAGAAAGATCTGAGGGAGAAGATATGGGGAAACATCTGGGGGAAGATCTGGATGAAACTCTGGAGGAAGATCTGGAGGAAGATCTGGGGGAAGATCTGAATCAATATCTGGGGATTTTTTGGGGAAACATAAAGAAAAAGGCTCTGCGGGGCAACATCGGGAACGATCAGATGAACGATCCAGGTGAAGATTTGGAAGAAGATCTGGGGGAAGATCTGGCGGAAGATCTTGGGAAACATCCGCGGAGAGACTTAGGGAACAATCTGGGATAACATCTTGGAAACCATATGTGGTGGAAGATCGGAGCGAAGATCTGGACGAACATCTGGAGGAAGATCTGGGGGAAGATCTGGGGGAAGATCTCGGGGATAGCTGGAGGAGATCTGGGGGAAGATCAGGGGGAAGATCTTGGGAACGATCTGGAGGAAGATCTGAGGGAAGACCTGGAGGAAGATCTGGGGGGAGATCTGGGGGAAGATCTGGATGAAGATCTGGGGTAAGATCTGGGGAAAGGTTTCAGGGAAAGATCTGGGGGAAGATCTGGGGAAAGATCTGGGCGAAGATCTGGGGGAAGATCAGGGGAAAGATCAGGGGGAAGATCTGGGGAAAGATCTGGAGGCAAATCTGGGGGAAGATCTGGAGAAAGATCTGGGGGAAGATCTGGTGGGAGATCTGCGCGGCGATCTGGAAGAAGATCTGGGGGAAGATCTGGGGGGATAATCTGGGGGAAGATCTGGGGAAGATCTTGGCGAAGACATCTAAGCGAAGATCTGGGGGAAGATCTGGAAAGATCTGGAGGAAGATCGGGGGGAAAGATCCGGGAGAAGATCTGGGGGAAGATCTGGAGGAATATCTGGGGAAAGATCTGGGAGGAGATCTGCTGGAAGATCTGGGGGGAGATCTGGGGGGAGATCTGGGCGAGGATCTGAAGGAAGATCTGGGTGAAGATCTGGGAGGGGATTTTGGCGAAGATCTGGGTGAAGATCCGGGGGGTGGGAGTTTTTTGGGAAAAGGAAGAGAATATCTGAATAACGATCTGAAGGAAGACCTCAAGATCTGCGTGACGATCTGGGAGGAGATCTGGGTGAAGATCTGCGGGGAGACCACGGGAAACATCTGGGGGACAATCTGGGTGAAGATCTGGAGGACAATCCGGAGGAAAATCTGGGGAAAGATAACCGTGACCATTTTTTAACATAGGTTTTCGATTATCACTCGCGCGATGACGGCAGGGCATGAAACAGAACAAGGAATTTGAAACATATTATTTTAGAGTAGGCCCGCGAGACTGAGCCCGGGCATGCCATCCTAGTTTGATTGAACTCCCTGTGCGCGAAAACACATCAAACATAGTCGAACGTGTTTCCCCAGACTATATGTTTGACTATTTTTGGATAACCCTTCTGTAGAGGACGTGCCCGACTTAGGCCAGAACGCGGGTCGCGGGAGGCAGCACCCGAGGATGTCAGGGAGGAGTACGCGGAGAGGGCCTGAAACGCCGCCCCGCAGGGCAGCCTGCACCGCAAGGGGGGGAGAGAGGGAGAGGAAGAAGGAGAGAGGAGAGAGAGGGATACAGAGAGAAAGAGAGAGAGAGAGAGAGCGAGAGACAAGAATCTAGAGAGAAGAGCGAGAGAGAAAGAGAGAGAAATATATACATATGTATATACATGTATGAAAAGAGAGAGAGAGAGAGAGAGAGAGAAAGAGAGAGAAACAAAAAAAACAAAAAACAAAAAAAACAGTGAGAGACAGAGGAGAGAGGAGGGGGGCGGAGGTGAGGGGAGAGGAAGGTGGAAGAGAGGAGATAGAGGAAGAGAGAGAACCAACAAGAGAAAGAGAGAGAGAGAGAGAAAGAAATAAAGAGAGA